AAGTTATATGAATTGTTGAATGTGAAACTGATGATGTGCCCTGTAAACTTTCACTCAATCCACAATAAAAACCTTAAATTAAAAAAATGATAATAATAATTTTTAAAAAATTACATTAGGACTAAAAGTACAAAATATGACAGGGAAGACAACAGAACACTTAAGAAGGTTTCTGAGGGGGTACTGTTGAAGTGGGGATGGATGCAGCCCAGCCCAGCTGTGACCCAGGATGCACATTCAAGACTGATGAGAAAGTGGTCCTCATACCCCTCACCCAATGACTGGCAGAGCAACATGTGTACCAACACAGCCAGGGTGGGGTTTCTAAGAGGAGAGGACAGCAGGTGCCTAGCGAGCATCCAGTCCACCTCGGGGGTGAGTAGGGAGGGATAAGCAGCCCGCAGGGGTAATTCAACAGTTCAATAATGTATGAATGGCATTTTGTGTGTTTTGACCTCTCCATTTGCATTTTGGTGCCATGCTCCCTTATCTCCCTCCTTTCATTTTGTCACCCCCATCCCACCCCTCTACAAGTGGGTTTCTCTCTCTCCAGCCTCCTTAGTTCCCATGTACAATACTCTTCTTCCCCCCCTCCCTCTCTACCACGCTGACAGACTGTATCAGTGAATCCCTCAACAGTGTCATATCTTTTTTTTTTTTTATTCATTGCATGATTTATTTTTAGCCTGAATCAACTGCCTCCTAAAAATGGAGTTCCTAATGAGACAAGGGCTGGGCAGAACTATGTAAGTTATCTAGGGCTTGGCCTCCCCTGCCTGGCTCTCATTCTGCACACACATGTGTGTGTGAGAGAGCCTCTGGTCTCTTTGTCCTGAGCCTGCGATTACAGCTAGCTGGACCCAACCAGGTGAAGAGTCTAGAAGGGCAACAAAGAGAAACAAAACCAGCCTCTCTCTGTTTCCCACCCGGCTCAGGAAGACCTCTGGCTGTCTTCTGTCCACTCTCCTGAGCATCCAAAGCACAACTTTTCCCAAATGAAGAGAACTCACCTGTTTCTTGTGGGGGTCTATTTGCTGTCCTCCTGCAGGGCAGAGGAGGGATTGAACTTCCCCTCATATGATGGGAAGGACCGTGTGGTCAGTCTCACTGAAAAGAACTTCAAGCAGATTTTGAAGAGATACGACTTGCTCTGCCTCTACTACCATGAGCCTGTATCCTCAGATAAAGTGGCACAAAAACAGTTCCAACTGAAAGAAATTGTCCTTGAGGTAAGTCAGAGGCTTGGTTGTGTCTTTGGCCAGTGTTTGGGACACAGGATGTACCAATGTCTTTTTGTAGTTCAGTCTTACATATGTCTGAAGATATTCTTGTTGCAAAGCTAAGATGTACGAGCATTGTATGGTGGGACTACCCGTATACTAGAGATAACTGGACTTTCAAGTCTTTCACATTATGGTCTTCTTGATTTCCAAAAGGCTATATATAGTCCCAGGGTCTTGCATTTCTGAATATTAAAACTCTTGTTAAACTGTTGGCTGATATAAACTCAGGAATCATTTGTGGATTTCATTCACTGTACTGTTTGCCCACCAATCCCGGAGAAACCATTTGTTTGACCTTGCAACTCTTCATGAGTCTGGTGGGGAATTTCACTAAATGATTTTTCTCTCTTGTGAGCTAGTTTTAGATAGCACT